ATGTTTTCTTAACATACAATTACTCTGTATCTAAAACTCTTTCTAATACACATATGAGTGTCTATGAATTTGTTTTTCTAGTCTACCCAGGCTAACACAGGCACCTAACAACCACAGCATATTTTAACTTAAAATGTTAATTGTTGTAATCCCATGGTGACCTCTAAGAAGGTAACTGAAACAGAGGAGATGATGTAAAATAACAGATAATATCTACTTAACATGAAAAAGTAATGAAGGAATAGGGGAGCTGAAAAAGACAAAAATGTAAAGAAAACAAATTTTAAAATAGCAGATAGGAAATAATAAGCATAAATAGCAGATAGGAAATAATAAGCATAAATCTACCTCATCCATAATTATATGACATGCAAATGAACTAACATTCCCAATGAAAGGCAGAGGTTGATTTCCAACTATACACTGTCTTCAAGAGACACACTTTTGAGTCAAAGATATAAAGAGGTTGGGAGTAATGAGATGCAAAAGATATACCCCGTACAAATAATAACCCAAAGAACTGGCTTGACTATACAGTCAGACAAAATAGGCTTTACCACAAAAATTACTAGTGACAAGAACTCCCCCTAACTGGATATCATTGATTTCTTTGTCTTTTTAAACATTTTATCGTGGATTGGGTGAAGAGTCACAGTGCAGAGCATCCGTTTACATTTCACAGCCCATCCACATTTTGTGTCAACTCATCCATTGCCGCCCTCAAGGGGCCACCGCTGGTCCCACCTTCTCCCTGTGTTGGGAGTTCATGGGGTCCTCCTGTCTTCCTCCAACCAGTCAGTCTGCTCTCTTAGGATTCCAAGCTGTGTTTCATCTCCCCTCTCCTAGTCTCTCCAGGACTTTCTTAAGTCACGTTCCTGGAGTGACAGTGGGAGCCGTCTAGCTCCTCTGGTCTGAGGGTTGTGGAGACTGATAATGGCGTGGTCCATTAGTCCGCTGCACTAACAGCCTCCATTTACCTTTCGATTTTCATCAATCTCCTTTCCCCCAAACAAGGATAGACTAGGGGTTGCATCATAATGGCCACACACAAACTTTTAAGCGCCCTGTTGATATCCATGCAAGTAGAACACACAGCACTGTGTTTGGGGATTATGCTAGCCCATAGACTTTCGTGCCCTCCAATCTGTGGTCCTGATCCTCCAGGGTCAGCAACTCATGCCCGCAAAGAATTTAACCTTTTGGTCTTAAGTGGTTGATTCTCCTACTACCGGGTGGAAGCGTGAGTTTACTTCTAGACCTAAAGGTTGAGTAAGGACCATCGTCTTGGGGATTCCACCAGTCTTTATTCAATCAGTCAGCCTGGTTTCTTTTATGAGTTTGGGTTCTGTTTGACATATCTTTCCCACTCTATCCAGAACATTCTAATGTGCATGGTTTCAGAGCAGTTGGGAGTGGTGGCAGTGCACCATCTAGTCTTTGTCTAAATGCTTCCCCAGAGCAGGGGTCCTCAACCTTCCTCATGCCGCGGCCCTTTCGTACAGCTCCTCCTGTGGTGCTGACCGCCAACCATCACCTTATTTTCATTTCTACTTCATCACTGTCATTTTGCTACTGTTACGAATCATCATGTAAATATCTGATGGGCAGGATGTATTTTCACTGTTACAAATTGAACATCATTAAAGCATAGTGATTAATCACAAAACAATAGGTAATTATATTTGTGAAATATTTATTTCTAACGACAAATAAATGAAATTTTGTCTTGACGCATGGTGTAGCATGCGTAACAATCTTCACTCTGGGTACTCGTATGGGGCCATATCTGCATGTGGGCGGACACTCCTGGAGATGGATAAAGGGAACCGAGTCTCGGTACCTAAGACCAATGGCAATATGTGTTTTCCAATGGTCGTAGGCGACCCCTGTGAATGGGTCGTTCGGCCCCCAAAGGAGTCGCGACCCACAGGTTGAGAACCGCTGCCCTAGAGACAAGAACATCTTATAATGATAAAAGGGTCAATTCAACAGGAGCACATAAGCGTTAGCACCCATCTCACAACCGACCCATATACATATCTAAAAAACCCCTTTGCTTCTTTGTGTAGACTGCTGCGTCTCTTACACGCTTTGGCCCTCATGCCCAGCAAATCTGGCCCGTATGGATTAGAGAGATTTGAAACCAGCCCTAGGTCTTTTTCCACTTTCATTTCTTTCTTTGTGTTCTTCTGTGAGCTACCAAGCTTGTCCTGGGATGTCATCACATTGACTTCTATAGAAAGCTAGGGTATTTACCAAGGCCATTGCTTTTATAGAAATTCAGAGTTGGAGGAAACCTGATAATCTCTTGTCTGAACCTCGAATCTGAAGAGTAAACTGAGGACTAACCTGATTCAAACCATTGAGTTAGTGGCAGGAGAAGGTCTGTAATCCTGCTTAGCAAACTGTTGAGCGGTGCGGTTTTCAACACTGTCCTTCTATGACAGTCCTCTGTGTTTTCTGTATGTGGGTCGGTTGTGAGATGTGTACTCTATCACAGTCCTCTGTATTTTATGTATGTGGGTCGGTTGTGAGATGTGTACTCGGTGACAGTCCTCTGTGTTTTATGTATGTGGGTCGGTTGTGAGATGTGTCCTCGGTGACAGTCCTCTGTGTTTTATGTATGTG